GCCGTGTGTTACATCTCAAATCTCAAATGGAAGTAGAATATTATTTCAATTGCATTAAGATAATGCAGTTATTTTTGTATGCACAATATTTTACGTTTTCACTTATTAGCGTTGGACTTTATATTTAAAAGTATTTAATACTAGTGACTCACCCGAGGTTTCGCTCAGGTTCGTCCCTAGGTTTTAAATTCCCCATACAAACTTTCATCCCAATTGTCAGCCCCTTAAGGGATGATTTCCGGAATAAAAAAATATCCTATGGTCTCAAAATATCTTCTTACCAAATTTCATATAAATCGGTCCATCAGGTCAGTAGATTTTAGTTTATTCGTTACAAACATACAAAAATACAAATCTTTCCTCTTTATAATATTAGTGTAGAAGTAGATTCACATATTCGGGCTATTTTCTATATACGAAAATTTGTATGTGTGTATGTCTAATACAGATAGACTATTGTATATGAACTAGTAATACAAAGGTTACTGTTAGGCACTAGTACCACGGTTAGGTAAGTTTCTAGTATAGTATAAGTATGTAATCTAAAGGACTATAACCCCAGAACTATAAAAATCATTACATATCAAACAAAATATTAAATATTAAAAAAATGTAAGAAAATTTTATGAAATAGGTAATATAAGTTAAGCAGATATTTTATATTACCAAATTTTAGTAATACTTTGAATCTTGGAGAGTATTTACTTATTAAATCAATATTCTGTTTAAACACTGATTATATCATTTACTATACTAAACTATATTTTTAGGTATTTATGGATTGTACAAAAACATTGTGTTTGCCTAAAATATTGCCATTATGCTTAAACCGGACCATGCGGAATTGGAATCTGTGACCTTCTTCATAGTAGCTAAAGCCTCATAGCTCCTAAATCATTGATTGTATAATCATCTAGCTTTTACGTGTAGCTTATAAAAATATTCTGGTAAAAACTGTGTACAAAGTTAATAACACTAGGAAGAGTCGTCGGATTTGCTAACATGAGATTTTTTCTTAAGTTAACCTCTGAACGTGAAGCTCGTAAAACGCGGTGCGCAAATTGTTTCTTTAGGTACACTTGACTGATTGTGTCGATTTTCGCCAATTGTGTAAAATGACGTGAGTGCCTACAACGGTAATGACGTTTAAAATAAAACTTTCTTTTAAGATTTTTATAAGGATATATTTGGCGTTTTCGTTCTCGACGCTTAGAATATTTTTCAGCAACATGATCACGGATGGAAATAAAGTTTTGGAGGTCTCCAAAAGTTATTATATAGTTATTACAGACAGTATCTACCCACATAATTTTAAAATAATCCGGAGGAAGAAGATAAAAGGCTGGAAGAAAATTAAGTTATGAATGGTAAATGAAATTTTGAGAATTTTAAGTAATGTAATAAATATAAGTGTATGTGTGAAATTAAAAAAATAATTTTACAAGATCTCTATTACAACACACATTAGAGACAAAAGTAGAAATACTATCTGCTTACAAATCAGTGACATGACTGGCCTATTCAAGACTACGTACCATTTCTGATAACATCAAAAAACCCACATACCATGGTGATTACTTGCTAGATGATGATCCTGGTCATTACAAGGTTACGGCTTAAATAATTTCAATTAAGGTTCGCATGTAAAATATTCTTCTAAATATTATATATTATGTATATGTATAATATTCTTAATTAAATATATATTAGTATGTTAATTCCTTTAATAGTAGTTTAGCCCTTTTAACGTCCCCCTAGTAGGAACGGGCCCTACTCGATACGAGGGGGATCAGACTAATCCACCAATGACATTAGGTCGTACATGCAGGTTTCCTCGTGATGTTTTCCTTCACCGTAATAGCATTTTGAAAACAAGATAAACACAAAGTTTTAGAAGTGCCAATCCCGGGGTTTAAACCTGCTTCACTTAAGTTTTCCAATACTTTACCATTTAAGACATTATGATAACAGGATTTAATATTTTCTTTTACTTTTACGTACTGGTGGTCTGACAGAGGTCGTTGCTTATAACCTATTGTACAATCTAGCGTTTATTAGCGGCTCCGTTCAAATAGTCTATGTATGTTTCTTGTACTGAGAGTGATGTCTTATCTGGTTCATCAGCCGGGCAAGCAGTTTTCTTTTGCATGCAAATTGTGACCTGCGGATCTTTTGATTGTATATGAAACGTCAGATTAGGACGTGGGTAAGATCACAATGTTTTTCGACTCTCAGTTAAATGTATAAGAACGACCCCTATTTTTATTTTTTTTTAAATTCTACTATATCATTGTATAGTGGTTCATATGAGACACTTACAGTTATGTAACCAACATGTACCAAAATTTGTACCAAGTAGTACCAATAGTCTCGAAATAATGTGGCTGTCCGGTCAGATGGACAATGAAATTATAAGGATTTTGTTTTTATTTTTTAACTTTTGAACCCTCTAAGAATATAAATTTCTCCGGCGTATGTTTTTTTTATTATGAATTATACTTCTCTCTCTGTCTCTCTCTCTTTGATAGTGGCAGCAAAGCGTCCAACACAAAGGTGAAGAGAGAATTGACAGTACATCTGTGTTTGCGCGCACACTCCTGCATTATAACATCTCACGTGCAGATAGCTATTCACAGTGAGATTGGGTGCCATTATCGGAATTCGTTCTGGAGGGTATTATTATATGATTCAAAAGTATATTCGTTTTTGGTATTTGGAGAGTGGAAAATACTTACATTTGCTTTTAAAGTAAATATATAATGTTATTTATACAGTGTTAAAATAATATGAACTCAGTGTTTATATACTGTCATTTCTAAATAATAATACCTTATAATTGGAATGGGCCCTGATATTAATGAAATGTTTTTGTTTCTGTCTGTTTATTCACCTATTATTTGAGAATGGCTTGATGGATTTCAACAGCATTTATTACCATATAGTTTATTGACTTAGAAACAGTTTCAGCGTTCTGTAAATTATAGTTCGATATAAAGCCGAAACCAACTTTAGTGCTAGTAAATAAAATGAATATTTTATGTTTAAGTTCCAAAGTAAATTTACCCATTTGCTTAAAAGATAGTAGTGTATTTTTTATTGAACATAATATGTAAAGAAATATAGCGTAAATTATTTAGCATTTTAAATAAAACTGTCTTTTCGGATTATTTCGCGGATTTATTTTGATTTTTGGTTCCCGATATTTCGAATGCTTTACAGCAATTAGGGTCACGAAAGAGACTGGTCTCAAAAAACAAAATAAATCCGCATAATAATCCGAAAAGATAGTTTGATTTAAAATGTCAAATATTCGCGTAAATCTAAGAAAGTATTAAATTATTTAGGCTAATTAAGATAATTACAGATTACTTTTAATATATTGAAAAAATGGATTTATGATATTTTTTTAATTCAACCAAGAAATTTATTTGGATTGCAGGAGAATTTTATTAGAAATATAATTTAAAATCTAAATTAATTATAATTGAAATGATTTATATTTAAGTGAAAAATCGTTAGTATTTCAAATAACATAATAACTTTTACTACCAATAATATTACTTGACGTTCACAAATATTATATGCCTGGAGTATTGTAAGCAATGAATTCAAATTGATAAACGTTTTAACTGAGAGACGTTAGAGAAATTATTTCGCTTTTTATTTCAGCATGAGAGATATATGTTTTATAAATTTAATAAAATTATTGAATTTATTAAGGTATAAAAATATTTTTTTATCTATGCAGGTCTGTAGGGCGTTATATTAGTGAACTTATACCTATATACAAATACATACGTAAATATTTTTTTTTTAAATTATAGTGATAAGTATAGGTGATCTTTGTAAATATACAATACTTACGTAACCAACAAAAAAAATTAAGTATAATAAGAAAACCCTCAAAATAAGGAAATCTTTTAAGTCTTAAAAGTTCCACTTCTGGGCATGGGTCTCCCTTGGAAGCGAGGGAATTAGCAATGCTCCACCGAGCTGGACAAATTCGGGATGATAGGCTTCACAATTCACATGTCTTTCAAAAACCACTTACATAGCTTTTATCTATAGGTAGGTAGACTTGAACAAGATGTTTTCTTTCGTTCAAGGTAATCATGTTGCCTATTTGATCTCAAATCAGGAGACCTAGGCCCGTTGCGTGGCGTAAGCCCTGGCTTAAATGATAAGATTAAATAAAACCAGCCTGAAAATAATTCAAAGATACAAATTTACTTTACCCTCTACCGTTTAGTATATTTTTGAGGTCAAATAATTATTAAGTATACATACGCGGTAATAATGTCCTCCTGACATATTTTGGTCACGGCAGCCAATATCAAAAGTATTTCAAGTATTTGTGCACTTGTGGAGTGTTTTGTTGTCGAACCGTGATAACTTCTTAAGGTAAATATTTTTTTGTTGCTTTTGTTTAATATTGTTATTTTAATGTAGGTTATTTACGACGTCAAAAATGCAGCTAAAGTGAGGTCGATGCAGAGTTAGTTTTTTTGCTCAACACTTATGAAGTGGCTAAATGATTTAAAATCGTCGCTTGAGCAAGTTCCTTCAGAATAATTAATTTATATTTTATTTGACAAATACTAAGTGGCTCGTAATGTAAGTCGTCACTTTAAGAAGAATAGTTTTGTTTTAAAAGGGTCAATTGGAATTTTTATTTGACTCTTCTAAAGTGGCTTAGGGATCGAAGTGCGTACCGGAGGGGAAATAGCTTTAGTTTAAAATGGATTAGTTATCTTGAGATCGACACATTTTTGACCCAGATAGTATCAGAGAACGGTTGTTTATCCAGCCTTACAACGAGTTCACTAGGTTCTAAATTTATTCTCTGTCATCTAGGTAGTATTTTAATAGTGATTGTATAATGTATATTAGAAATACAGTATAAGATGTTTGTATATTTATTATGTGCTTTTTTGTCATCTCCTACTAGCTTACTGATCATCTACCTATACATAAATTATGGAAGTTCCAACGGAGGAATCATGGCTGACAGAGGCGAGCACAACCCAACCTGCTGCCGCGAGTCAAAATCTGGAAGTCCCCGGAGTCGCGACTACAAACCCAACTTTGGAGGTACCTCGCAACCCTTTTTTTTTTTTTTTTTTTTAACGTTGGGAAATGCATTTACGCACGAAGTGTGGGACTCACCGGCGAAGCCAGTACTACCCACTAAAACCCAACAAAACCTTCCCCCGTCTTAATGGGGCGTCGCAGGATCGCTTACGCATTCAACTACGACGCCCCGACGGCAGGTCTGCCGAAGCAGACCACAACAACCATGGGGTTGCTCCACGGTCCACTCTGCTATCAGAGAAGTACCAGGAGCAACCCGCATGGTACACCACCCTCCGAAGAAGGCCGCCTCCCACCGCCCACCGAAGCGGGCTACCTCCCTGTGCGTTTCTTGGCTTCGCGAGTACACTACTGAGCCCCCCCACCACGACAAGGTGAACGCACGTTGGGGGGGGGGGGGTACCTCGCAACCCTGGGCCATGCTACATGGAGTTTTCATATGCAGGTGTAGCTAGTAGTAGTACATATACTGCAACTGTGTCTTCTAATTTGGGAAAACCTGAAGGTGAGAATCATGTATATTTTTAATTTATTAGATAATACGAATGTACAAACACTTTTTTGTAACAATACACAATATAATACTTTCTTAGATTTACGCGAATATTTGACATTTTAAATAAAACTTATCTTTTCGGATTTTTTCACAGATTTATTTTGAGTTTTGGTTCCTGACGTTTCGAATGCTTTACAGCAATCATGATCAAAAAAGTCCGAAAAGAACGTTTTATTTAGGATATACAATATCTTTGATAATATTAATAAAGATCATAAATAATTTCAGTTTATATTTGTTGTTTTTGAAAAAAAATATTTTATTGTTTGTAGATACTCAAAGATCGTACTCAGCGTCTACCCCACCTAACTCACGCCGTGGTCATCGTGGCAACAATGGACGACGCAGACGAAATATGACCCCATTTGAGCGGGCCACCTCGGAATTCGTTTCCATCGAAGAAGGAAGATTACGTCTTGAAGAGATGCGCATAAACAGAGAGCATGAAAGGGAAATGGCACGAATAAATGTCGAATATCAAATCAACGAATTATTACAAAAAATTGCAGATAACATCGAACGATGGTTAATGCGCGGCACAACATAAGACTGTAGTTTATTTTTCAGTACCTTTATATTTAAATAAAATAATTTAAATGCCATTTTTTTATTGATATTGTTTCTATGAGCTAAAAAGCTTTAATTTCATAAATTACAAGTTACGATACTACATTTTTAATAACTTTATAAATTATAAGTTACTAGTTTATTAAATATCTTAGATTTGTAATATAAAGTAAATCAGTTTTAATACAACATATTTTCTTTAACTTTCAATAATTTACAAATAATTTTATTAATAATTTATTAATTTTCTTCCATTATATATAGCCATCTAATAATAATATTATCCTACTTAATGCTAAATTTATTTATTTCCAAATAAAATTTACTAAATTATTTAAAGCAATAATTTTTATTCTAACCTTACCAATAAATTATTTAGTGTAGCTCTACCTGGGATAAGCCCATTTTGGCCAAACCTATTGGCATTTTCTGTAATATCATTTGACTTCTTCTCCTAATCCTCAACTTCTAAAAGAGATTTTGAGACAGTAGCCAATTTCCTTACCCTGAGCTATTACTATATATTTATAAAGAACTATATAAATAACCGAATAAAAATACTTAGCACGGGACTCGAATCCAGGATAATGGGATTTGCGGCCGTACATGCTAGCAACTAGACCATCGTACGCCGCACAGGTGTTATTATTATCTAGTGTCGGAATAAAAGCTTAGAAGCATAGAAAGAAATAAGGTTGTTAAAATTTTAGACTCAACAAAACAGTTCACTTTATTGTTGTTAATTATGAGTTAAAAAGCAGCCGTCCATGCGGCGCCTTGGATGAATTCTTAACTTGCGAAGATGAGTCTTAATGCTTATCTCTAGTGCAAGTTGCATTCAATTAAGCTTATTGTTAAATATATAAAGCTGCTACAACACAGCGCTAACGTAGTCGTTATCGTAAATAGCTTGGAGTTATTTAAAAGGAGCGAGATATATTTTTAATATCATCTTTCTCTATCTTTTGTGGTAGTCGCAGTGACCTCCTTAATTTCTTTTGTTTAAAATATTGAAGTACTAGCGAATCACGCTCACTTCGCTCGGGTTCGTCGCTAGGTTGATTTCCCATACAAACTTTCATCCCCATTTTCAACCCCTTAAGGGATGATTTCCGAGACAAAAGTATCCTGTCCTTCCTAGGGTCTCAAACTATCTTCTTACCAAATTTAATCTAAATCGGTCAGTAGATCCAGAGATTACCCCCTACAACGTCACAAACTTACAAACTTTACCTCTTTATTATATTAGTATCGATACTAATTGTGTATGTATATAAATTAGGTTAGTAAGCCTATAATTAAACCTAATCTTCTTTTCACTCAATACATTACCGGCATAAAAAGTATTTTATATATTAGTCCAAGGGCTTGATTAATTTTTGAGCTAACTTTTTCAAATTCACCATTGACAGTGTTTAATGCTTATTACTTTTTAAGTTGTTGTTATATGTGTTGTCGACGCGCGTTCGAGGCTCGTTTACCGCGTATTTTGTATCTTTAAAATTTATCAACACAGAATATGCAGAGACGGCGTTCATTCATAATACGGACATTGTCGGCTAGTTTTTGAAATGTGGTGTCCTTTTAAGTTTATCGGAGCAGAATACACACAGGCAACGCACGTTCGTTAAACGCATGTCTATTCTACGCGTTAATAGCTCACCCTGTGCATAAGCCCTAAGAGTTTGCATTTTAATCATAGCAAGTTGAAAGCATATATGCATTGCCGTTTTTATTATATAGAAACACCAAAAAAATAAAATAATTTAAATTTATATAGTCTGTACGGAGATTTACAGCTATCATTATTTTATTTCATGTACTTAATCGTTTTTAGGTACTCCCCGTAGCAACACCTCGATCACACAAGGATTTTAGTTGATCGACAAATATTCCTCAACACAAAATTTAAAACAAAGAATGAACGGGTTCTGACGTTTCAATTAAAATTGATTTTCAAAACACATCAGAAAACACGTGTTTGCTAGCTCAGGCGAGATGGTTATTAAAAACGACTGGAATCTTGCGACTTTGATCAATAAACCAATTAAACATATTCATATTTATTATTTAGGTACGTTTTAAATAGATATAAATACTTATTAGCCAGCGTTAACCATATAATTTTATTTCCATTAATTTTTCTGATGTTTTAATACTTATTATCCTATTCCGGACTAAGAGAAATAAAAAAATTAAATATCATGAAAATCGCTTCAGCCGTTCTTGAGTTAAAAAAAATATAGCTGAATTGGTCGATCCGTTCTCGAGTTCTGCGCTTAGCAACATTCATTTTTATTTAGGTACTAGCGACTCACCCTTGCTCTGCTCGGGTTCGTCTCTACTTACGTTTTAACGTTTAGTATAGATTTCTCAGAAATGAGATATTTTCCCGCAGTAAATAGTATCCTATATGTTGAACCGGATAACCAGCTAACATCATACCATCATCAAAATCTATCCAGTGGTTTTTACGTGATGCGGTGACAGACAGACAGACAAAAATTCTAAAAACTATAGATTCGGACTCTGTATCGATAATTATGTCTATTTCAATAAGATTTCTCAAAAAATATTTAATGTACAGATTCGGCTTAGTTACAATTTTATTATACTCGTATGTATAGATATAAATTTTAGAAGAAAAAAGTTTGATCGTAATTAACAGTAAAGAACGCTTTCTTTCTATTAAATCAATCATTGTTGCTTAAAATTAATTGAAAGTAACAAAGTTGTTTCATCTTTTCCGAGCTTGCGATACAGTAGGGGAACTACTTTCAGAGGGCCGATAATTTTTTTTTATTTAACAACTAACTTCCGCCTACGGATCCGCTCGCGTGTTTTTCAACAGACACTAAACATAGTTTACAAATATTAATCAAGATTTATATCCAAAAAATATATAATATTTTAAAAAATTAAAAGATCAAATTATTATGACCACTATGTAAACCATTACAATAACTAAAAAGCAGCCATTTAAATTTATTCAGTCGTTCCAGAAAGATGTTAAAAACAAAACCAAAAGCTCTCATAGATTAATTAGTCTTCTATTATGTTATACGAATACATACGAATACATTTCAAGCCCATACACAAATATTTCAAGAATTTAGCGAACAATTTGGAATTCGTTACAATTTCATTACAATAAATTAGACATATATTACAACATAAAGAACGATATTAAAATCCCATTCCAACTCGCGAAAAGGAACAATATGTACTTTATTATCCCTGTTTATCCCAACATGTCGTGAAGACGTCTTGCTTTGCTGTTCTCACATAAAAACACAATGAAATATATGTTTATTATAAAAATATTATGTTATGTCGACCGTGCTTGTAGGTTACCACTGATTTTAGTATTAGGAGCTTTATTAGAGGTCGTCGGTTCTATTCCAGTATAAAGTATTTTTTTTTACTAGTTCAGACAATATGCTATTTTAAAAATCGTCAACCAGGAACCATATGTCTCGAATTGGCCGGAAAGCAAAAAAGAGGTTATAATATTACTTTTTGCTTGTCGCCTGTTTAAGTCATACGTCGATAAAAAATAGCCAATTTCTCACAGATAACGTGATTGCCTAACTGTGAAATGTGTGTTAAATAAATTTTAGTATAGACGTAATAAGCAAGTAATTTGTAAGAAGAAAGTTTTTTAATAACATATTCGATTAAACAATTTATTTACAAAAATAATTTATTGTTGATTTTTTTTTAAAACCGCTCGAACGATTTCGATAAAGTTTATATAGGACCACCTGCGAAGTATACCCTTTGAAACAAAAAAAATAATAATTCCAACTCGGTAAAAAAGAAGATTCCGACAAATTGAGAACCTCCTTCTTTTTGGAAATCGGTTAATAATCCATCTAGTAATTCCAAAGAAAACACCCCCTTATAACAATGAAAGATAAATCTATAACTATTTATTTACTTTCTCAACACGTCTTTAACTTCGCTAAAATTTATAATAACGTCTTCGTTGATATGTACTCAGACAAAGTAACTTCTAGCTAGCATAGTGTCTGCAAACCATGAAATTGAATAAGTTGGCGCCTCCTTCGTTTCTGTTTAAAACAATCAGTAAATGAAAATTTATTGTCTTCAGTAAATAAAACGTGCGCGTTTACTTGGAAATATTCGCGCTAAATAGTGGTAAAGATTTATTTACATTCATATATGAAAATATATGGTCTAGAAAAGTGTTAAAATATTAAAATTTATTTTAGAAGTTACTATGATTTAAACTAACATTACAGGAGATTCTTAAGTGAGTTGGTTGATTTATTTATCTTTCACGGAGATACGGAGCAGTCGTTAGTTTTATTACAACTCAACATTATGATATTACCGGTCCCTTTACATTATATACTGCAAAAGTTGTCTTTTGTGCAGTTAGGATAAGCGAAGCGAAGGTCTTTATCCTTATATGTATAAAAGGAAGTCGCTGGCGAGCGTCTGTCTGTTTGTACATGTGCACTACTCTCGAAGTTATCGAACGTATTTAGATGTAGTTTTACAAGCATTATCTGCATTTCTCCAAAAATATTTTAGTGTACCTATTAAAATTTTGACTAATTAGTTGCTTTAGAGATGTGCTGCATAAGTTATAATTAAATGAAAACATTGTACGACAAATATGTACCTTAATAGTGCTAAAAAAAAGTTCGCGATGTCAAATATCTTACATATTATATTTTAATAAATAGTTTGTTTATATTTTTTTCTATTTGCTTTAAGTTTTTTTTTAAAACAATGTTTAAGTGACTATTTGAAATACAATTTGTTATTTACAGCGTAACATACACACGCAAAATTTACCAATAGGATACTTCTTCATTTTGAAGTCGGTCAAAAACACACGCAGGTGAAGCCACTACGAGCGATTTGTGTTGAATGAAATGGATGTTTATTTTACGTTGTGCTATCATTTATTGCAATATTATTGTATTGGATCAGTAAAAGGAAAAA